ACATACACATACACACACACACACACACACACACACACACACACACACACCCACACGCACACACACACACACTCACACACACACACACACACACTCTCACACACAGACACACACACACTCTCACACACACACAACACTCACATACTCTCTCACACACACACACTCTCACACTAACACACACGCACACACACACCACTAACACACACACACACACACTCCCCCGCCTGCCGCTGCGCTCCACATGGGAACCCCATGCTGTCTTCAAACAAATAATTAAAGGAGAGGTGAAGGGTCGCGGCAGGGTCATTTCTCTGGATATGCCACAGAATGTGTCCTTTACTGCCGCTCACTACAAAGACAAACACTCCATGAGACGCAGCACAGAATATTCAATGCTCTGAAGTCCCTCTGACACTCTGTCTGCAAGAGCATGAGAAAACACATTAAGATTAGTGCCACTGTCCACTAACAGAGTCCCATTGCCTTTTAAATAATAAGCCAAAAATCCCATGTTCTTTGGAGAACTATTAATCTAAGATTTAACTAGTAATTGTGATGCAGTAACAAGCCAGAATTAAACAAATCAAATATCAGTAATACCTTTCTAAAATTATGATTTGTGTCTGTCCTGTTTCAGCAGTCTTAACCTTTAATTAAAACAAACTACATCATAGCATAAGGTGTTAAATAGATATATTAAATTCACTGTAGAAAATCTTTTTGATTTTATAACTTATTTTAATAACCCAAAACATCATTTAAAATTAAATATTTTTATAATGTATAATATTTGCAATAATCTTTACAATATACAGTATATAATATTTACCATTAAATAAACCTCTTTCCTTTTTTTGTTCATTTTTACACAGTTTAATGTTGACTGCATTTATCAAGTTCAACCATTCAAGAAATGTTTTTTTCAGTCTGTGAGAATTATACATTTATCAAACCAGCATTTGTTACTATATACTGAATGACAGCTTTATTTAGGCTACATGTTCAACCCTGTACATGCGATTTTTTTCACACCTTAATGCAATAAATAATCTGTTTTTAATTATGTTTTAAAAAATATTGAAAAATTGGCATATTAAGTTAACTCACATTTTAAAAATGCATATATGCACATATTTGCTCACACACACACACACACACAAAGATTTATCGAGATCCGCCTGAATATATATATATATATGTATATATATATATATATGTATTGAAATTAGGGTTTTGAACTGTATAACTGGCCAGCCATCTCAAATTCTGATAACAGGATTGCAACAAAAGTAGATTTAAGCATTGCAGAAATGGAAAAAATCAATTTTTATTGCCATTTTTTGAACCCTGTTGGAGCAAGTTTTCTTGCCTCCTGGTTTCATAAAGCACATGTGTAATCAGACAGTGCAAACACACATGGACTCGCTGCGGCTGTGAGTTATGGACTCAGAACTGCAGGAGGCCACTTGACCTCGCTCGAGCGGTTTGAGTTTTAGACCATCGGAGTGAGGACAATCTTGTAAAGTGAGGACATTTTGGTAGGTCCTCACTTTCTGAGAGCCCTTTAAAGGCCTGTTTGAGGGTCAAGACTTGGTTTTAGGGGTCAGGTTATAATTGGGTAAAGGGTAGGTAAGGGTTTGGGTGAGGCACTTAGTTCTGATGGGTAGGATCAGGGTAAAGAGGTAGAGATTGCATTGTGTCAATGAATGTCCTCACAAAGATAGCTATACAGAGTTTTATCTGGACGCTGACCAGCAGCCAATCACGGCGGGAGGCTGAGACGAGAGCCAATCAGGAACAGGGTCACTGGTTTGACGCATTCACGAGCGAGAATTCAAACCCAGCGCACCCGCCTCACCCCGCATCTGCTCGTCAATAAAAGCATCCCGTCCTGCCAGAAAAACAGACCCAACCAACCAAAACTAATGAAGTTACTCTTTAATGAGCCTCAAAAACAAATAAACAGATAATGAAATAAACAGAGAAAACAGCGAGGGCTCGAGGGAGGAAGCGGACAGCACCGCCGTCAACTTTGACCTAGGAAGTGTGCGCAGATTAACACCGGGCGGCACAGGTTTAATCAAAGCAAACAATTCCTCAATTTACACCCACTAACAGGGTCAGACGTGTGTCCACAGGCCAAACACACACCAGAGCTGTCTGTCCATTTATCACAGAGAGACAAGACTGTCTCTCTCTCGCTCTCTCTCTTCTTTAAGTTAAAACAGGAGTGGTGAGACGAGCATTACCTCACCCGCCATTTGATTTGCGAGTGCAGCGAGTGTGTGTGTGTGTCTGTGTGTGTGAGTGTGTGTGTATGAGAGAGAGAGAGAGTGTGTGTGTGTGTCAGTCTGTGTGTGAGTGTGTGTGTATGAGAGAGAGAGAGAGAGTGTGTGTGTGTGTGTGTGTGTGTGTGAGTGTGTGTGTATGAGAGAGAGAGAGAGAGTGTGTGTGTGTGTCAGTCTGTGTGTGAGTGTGTGTGTATGAGAGAGAGAGAGAGAGTGTGTGTGTGTGTGTGTGTGTGTGTGTGTGTGTGTGT